ATATATTTCATTGTTAAAAAGCCGTTTTCTTGTAGTGTCTTGTGGCAGAGTTATCAATGGGACATGGCTGCATTATGAGCAAGGATAGAGGAATTTCGATCATAAAAGTGCCCACGGAAGGTGTGACACTACTAAGTATGTACTAAGACATTTACAAATACTCCCTCTCACATTGAAAAGTTCTCGCCTCTGAAAATAAGGAACTCATGATGGGGGTATATTTCAATATATACCCCATTGTTAGGATCGTATTCCGTCTCCGGTTCAGGTCTATTCCACTATACTCACATACACCACTCTAGGGGAGGCTATAGCACACCTATTCTCTTTACTCTCTTCTTCTAACCACAAAGGAACTCTCAAGCAAGGAGGAAGAAGGAAGACACTGCTCTCAAATGTTCTGCAAGCTTAACTCTCAAATGGGCAAACAAAGGACTACAAATAGGCTGCCAAGGGAAGTCACGGGTGAGGCTAACAACAGATAGTCACGGGCTGCCAGACAGGAGGTGCAGCGGACAACAACAAAAGGGGGGCCAGCCAACAGTAAGTCAAACACTCAAGTATATAATTGATCAGATAATATACCTAGGTAAAAGGTACCAAAGTGGGAGTAAAACATAGGGTGCAAGCCTCAGCAAATAAAGTGGAAGGGAGACCTTGGTAGGACCAATGCCTCCAACATTCTCCACCTTATTGGTCCTAGGTGGTGTAGAGTAACAATACAAGGTTGTGACAAGACTCATCATCGCCGGGTCACCCGTAATATCAACAGATAAAACGGGCAAACACTTTATTAGGCAACCCATAGTTATCCACAATCAAAGTTTAATGCGCGTTTACAGGACAAGTGCTTCTCAGAAGAAAGACACTTGGTACCCATATCTGCGGGATTAAACTCGGACGGGATCTTGCACAACTTGACTCCACCTGCATCAACAATATCACGTATGAAATGGAACCTAACATCAATATGCTTAGTTCTATCATGAAATACAGGATTTTTGCAAAGTTGGATAGCCGATTGGCTGTCCGAGAAAATGGTTACTCCCTGTTTGAGAAACCCAATTTCGGAGACAAGGCGTTTGAGCCAGATGGCTTCCTTAAACGCTTATGTGGCTGCAACATACTCAGATTCAGTGGTAGAAAGGGCCACAATAGGCTGTAGTTGAGACTTCCAACTTATGCAAGAGCCACACAAAGTAAAAACATAAGAAGTGGTCGACTTCCTGTTATCTCTATCATTTGCATAGTTAGAATCAACATAACCAATCAATTCAATACCACTAGCACATTTAGAGAAAACTTATCCATGCTTCACAATAGATATCAGATATCTAAGCAACCACTTAAGAGCATTCCAATGAGGCAAACCAGGGTTGGACATATATCTACTCAAGCAACTAAACGCATATGCAATATCAGGTCTAGTGCTAACCATAAGATACATAACCGACCCTATTGCGCTGGAATAGGGCACAGATTTCATTTTCTCAATTTCAGGAGCAGTCTTGGGAGATTGGTCCTTACTTAACACAAAGTGAGATGCCATAGGGACATTAACAGGAGAAGCAGAGAACATATTGAATTTACTCAAAACTTTTTCTATGTAAGAAATCTGATTCAAAGTAAGAGTACGCTTACTCCTATCCCTAACAATGTTTATGCCTAGGATCCTCTTGACATCACCTAGGTCTTTCATGGCAAAATTCGCACAAAGACATTTTTGCACATCTTTAATAGCATTCAGAAAAGAACTAATTATCAGCATGTCATCCACATAGAGTAACAAAAATACAGGCACAGAGGAAGTATTTTTGAAATACAGGCAACAATCTCAAACAGATTTTTGGAACTTCAAAGATATCATGCATTTATCAAATTTGATGTTCCACTGCCTAGGGGATTGCTTCAGGCCATACAACGCCTTCCTAAGCAAACAGACATGCTCACTTCTCTTAGGATCCACAAAGCCCTCAGGCTGGGTCATATAAATTGTTTTGTCCAATTCACCATGCAAAAATGAAGTAGTTACATCCATTTGTTTCATTTCCCAGTCATGGTGAGCAACTAAAGCAAGCATCTACGAATAGTGGTGAATTTAACAAGAGGAGCAAAGATTTCTGCATAATCTACCCCCTCTTTTTGAGTAAACCCCTTCGCAACCAACCTAGCCTTAAACCTAACATCACTAGGTTCTTCCTTAACCTTAAACAACCACTTACACTCAATTACCGAACAGTTGGGGGTCTAGGCACAAGGGTCCAAGTCTGGTTCACTCTCAAAGAGTCCATCTCACTTTTCATGCCACTAATTCATTTCTGAGACTCTTTGGAACCTAAGGCTTCACGGTAGGTCTTGGCTTCATTCAGCTCTAGGGATTCAAACACAGAAAATGAAAACATAGAAGTATCATGCACAATGAAAGCATAATCAGGCATACTATCAGCAGTTCTCCTAATAGCCCTTCTACTCCTATCTCTAGCAAGTTGATAATCATGCAAATTATCACTACTACGCTTCACATGCAACTCATGCAAATTATTGTTGTCATGAAAATCAGATTCAGCACCCATATCATGCAAATCATGCTCAGTATCATGCAAATGCTCCACCTCACTCGAGGTGATGGGACTATCATGCTCAGAGGAATCAGAATCATGCATAACAATATCATCAGTAATAACAGGATCAACAGATAAAGGACTAGCAGCAACAGGGACAGACTCCACCTCACTAGGAGTACTATCAGACCTAGACTCAGGATTAGAAACAGACTCGGTCAAGCAAGGAAAATCAGTTTCATTAAACACCACATTTCTGCTAATGACCACCTTAAAGCCTACCTGGTTCCTATCCCATAACCTGTAACCCTTTACCCCCTCTGGATAACCTAGGAAGACACATTTCTTAGACCTAGGATCCAACTTGTCACTCTGTTGATGTGCATACGCTGCACAACCAAACACCCGAAGGTTAGACAGATCAAGAGGCTTACCGGTAAAGACGGCTTCAGGACACTTACCACCAAGAGGGACAGACGGGGACCTATTAACCAAATACGCAGCAGTAGTAACTGCTTCACCCCAGAATTTCTTAGACAAACCAGAGGTAGCTAACATGCTTCTAACCTTATCCAACAGAGACCTATTCATTCTCTCTGCTATCCCATTCTGTTGGGGAGTATAAGGCACAGTTTTGTGCCTTTTTATCCCATAATCCACACACAGCTTATACATCTCCTTATTACAGAACTCTAACCCATTATCGGTCCTAAGGGTTTTAACCTTCCTGCCAGTTTGGTTTTCAATTAGGGTTTTCCACTCCCTAAACCTCACAAACACATCAGACTTGTGTTCTAAAAGGCAAACCCACACCTTCCTAGAAAAGTCATCAGTAATAGAAAGGAAATATTTCCTACCCCCGTGGGTAGGAACACTGGCAGGACCCCAAACATCGGCATGAACATATTCAAGCACAGACGAACACTTAGACAGATTAGGGTAAGAGGATGGAGGGAAGCTGACTCTATGCTGCTTGCCTAACACACAAGATTCACAGAAAGGCACAGAAGTCACAGAGTCCTTACCAAAATAACCAGCCCTACGCATGACATCTAAACCCTTATTGCTCATATGTCCTAGCCTATTATGCCACAAAGAGGTCTTATCAGAACATACAACATTCACAGACTCAGCAAAAGGTTTAGCATGACACACATAAAGGTTATTCACCTTCTCAGCTTTAAACAACACAAGAGAATTTTTCAAGATTTTTATGCAACCATTTCCCCACTTTCCCTGTAAACCGTTACTCTCCAAAGCAGCAACAGATAACAAGTTATGACACAAATCAGGGACATGCCTCACATTCTTAATGGTAAACACAGAGCCACAAGAAAACTTCAGACATATATCACCAACACCAAGCACATTGCATCTCTTATTATCAGCTAAGGAAACATAGCCACTATCACATAATTCATATGAAGAAAACAAATCTCTAAAGGGGGACATGTGATAGGTACAACCAGAGTCAATCAACCATTCATGCTCAGACAGGGAATTTCTCACAGAATTAACATGATCACAAACCATCAAAATGTCACCAAGGTCACATCTATCAACAGCTACACTAGCATGCTCTGTCTTCTTAGGGTTGGGGCAATCCTTAATGAAATGGCCAGCGTTACCACAATTGTAACACACTCTCTTCCTAGATTTGCTCCTCTTTCTCCCAGGCTGACTAGTGTTCTTACTTTGACGTGTAAGAACATCATTTTCAGTACAAAATAAAGTTGGCCGGACGGGGTTTCCGTCAGGCTTGTCTAATTTGAATGCTACTGTATACGAAGTATGTTATTCATAATATCCGTCTTAGGGGATAATATGAAAACTCTATCTTATTGGATAAATAATTATTATTTTATTATTGTTATATTGAAAATATAGTAGACTTTGTTGATGTTATATTAAGCAAAGAAGTTAATAAGTATATAATAAAACAACAGAGTAACAACTAATTGCATTTGTAGAGTGGATGAAGACCCAAATTGCATTTGATGTTATTCATAACAACTGATTGCTAAGGTTGACTTCCCCTAGCATCAAATTTTTTGACATTTAAAAAAACATGTGTGGATGGATAATTGATTTCTATTTATTCTTCCAGTATGGAACCAAAGAGAAAAATAAGATTCCCAAAATTTTACAATATAATAGTTCCATTTTGATATCAAAAGAAACGTTTCTTTTAATGTCATAATTGACTTTCCCCTATACCTACCATAATGACATGGAGGCATGACGTGGCGAGCGGGTGATATAGAATCGCAAATAATCGGATTTCTCTGACATGACTCGTCCAGCCGGATGACAAAGTATCTCTTCCTCCTTGTGAAAAAACTCTTTGGTCCTATCAACCCACACTTTTGTCCGTACTCAGAATAATTGTTCACTTTATTCAGCCCAATGTCCTATCAACCCACACTTTAAAATTGCTAGCCAATCTCCGCCCAAACCCCAACACACTAGCTTTTTCTTTCTCTCTGTCTCTCAAACAAGCCAAACCAGAGTGGTTCATGGAATTTGATTTTGTCAAACCTATTTGGGGTGTGTATGGTTTCCATTTATTCATAATAACACACCCAAAGATCTCTTCAAGCATATGTATGGCAACACTGAAATCCCAACATATGCTATTATTTCTTGCCCTCTTTCTCATCTCCTCATCAATCCTTCCTCAAGCATCCCTATCTTCTATCCATCCTAATACAAACACAGCCATGAAGTCACCACCACCACCACCCTCTACAACCGAGTTGCACCCGAGCCGAAAGAGACTCCCGGGCTCTTTCCGTAATCCTTCTTCTTCTACACAGAAGCCACCGGATTACGGAGCCAGCTATCATGAAGTCCCCGGCGGCCACAATCCAGCAAGCAACCGCCGGTAAGTCCAATATCAGCTGAGATGAAGAGAGATCAAAGTTATTACGGCAGACCGAGCAGATCTGTCACGTTATATATATAGAGTACGGTTTCGATTACAGAGCTTTTATACATTTGATTTTCACTCTTATATTTAAGAGTTTTATATGATGACAGAAAAAAATCACATAATTAATTACCAATTTGTCATCATTTCATTCATCTTTTTTTACTATGTTGGCACTTTTTAAACGACTGCTTGTAACTATTGTTACTTTGGTATATATACAGATATACAGATATGGTAAAAAGAAGATAGAAGGGTAAATTGGCTGTCAAAAAAGGGGTAAATTGGGGTTTGCATGTAACCTATAGGGTCATGTTCTTCTTTTTAAGTTTTGCTTTTTGGATACGTGTGGTATATTTGTAATCAGCTGTTATCTGTGTGTGATGAGTGGATACATCAACCCAATAAATCATGATTTATTTATTTGTTGCTTATTAATAAGGTCGTAAATAAACAAATAAATGTCTCTAAATATGAATTGGCAATGAATTAATTAATTACACCAATAAGGGTTCTCAGATATCCGGAGAATAGTTTAATTTCTGTACCGTACGGAAGAGTGCCTGAGAAGGGCAGGAGCAAACGTTTGGAACAAACAAAGAATCCAATCTGGCAGCCTAAAATCGCCAGGCAGAGAATCTATATCCATCATCGTGAGGCCTTTATTTGATCGAAGGTTAACTTTGTAAAACATTTGCTTAGAAAGGTATGTTGTATGTTCCTTTTTATTTAGTCTAACACTATTTTTCAAGTCAATGACGTTAAAATTATATATTCATACATTGTAATATTTTTCTTGAAGAATTTATACACGATAATATTGTATGAATTTATTATGTTTCACATAAATATACTCTGTATTAATTAGAATAATGGATCAAAGTTTATCATTTTTTATGGGAAAAAGCAAAAATGACTTTGATAAAAAAGATAAAGGTAATATGCAAAATAAATGGAGAGGGTGGTAGAGAATTTTATTTTGATACCCAAAACTTTTTTGGGATTCGACACCTACGAGGCCTATGTCTTCCCGTGACTATTCAACAGGCAAAAGAAAATTGCATTGGCCCCTCAACTTCAGCAAAGTTGCAAGTGGGGTTGTCGTTCCATGACTTTTCTCCATTTGTATATTCTGATTCCCGATTACTCCGTAATAAAGTTCGTGTGTAATAAGCAGAAAAAGTACGGTTATAGTTACTTTTTTGACTGTATTGGCTGAAATTACTGTAGATGACTATTTTGACAATTTTTACACATAATTTTTTTCTTAATAAATTTCAGCATAATCAGTTAAATCAGTCGATTTTTATGCTACCAAACGGGTTCAAAATCTTATGACTAATAAATACCCGTATAACTTATTAGTATAGATTATAGTTTTATTGAATTTTTCATAACGTGACTTCGCTTCTATTTCCATCATAGGCTTGTATTGTACTATTGTAGGGTCCACTGTGATCCACTTTTTGAAATGATATGATTAATTAAGCTAACTCACCCTAATCAAATTATGAATCATAGAGCAAAATCTATATACTTGTGTGTCTCAATTCTTTTTTCGTGTTGAACTAACATGTAAATTATAACAAAGTGATGTTTAAGTTTATGTGCTAAGGGAAATAATTCATATATTTAATCTTTTTACCATATTCACATACTTTACTATATTTATTAATATATCCAATAAAATTATTATTTCAAAAATCATATTAACTTTTCTTTAAAAAACAGAATATGCTTTTAATACATTTTAATTTACTAATAGCCAATAGAAATCAGTGGTTAAACTCGTGCTTTAGACATATGAAAACAGATGTAGTAAGCAAGAATTTAATTTTTTTTAGCGTAAAACCTGTTTATCTCATTCTAGCGTAAAATCGGTTAATTGCACTAATTATGAAAAGTACTTATTATATATTTAAAATATATTTTATCGATAAATATATTCAAAAATTACATAAAAATAGTTAAAAAGCCGTTTTTGTTTGTAAATCCCGTTAACAGACAAAATATATCTTATTTTATTTGTTAACAAGATTCACTGACAACAAAATGCTCACAAACATTGGTTGATATAAAAATGGGTAGAAAAAAAAAATGGGTAGAAACGTTTTTGGAAGTGTAGTTCGACCTAATCTTAGCTTGGACCAGACTTTCGTGCTTGGCCAGGAAAAACATGGTCAAGGCATGAATTCTGTTGGTTTTAACTTTGCCTTTTTGTCTTCTCGATTGCACACAACTCAATAAAGCAAGGAATCATACCAATATCATTTGACTATTAAGATATGCCTAGATCTGTCCTCATTAGCTAATTCCACTCCTAAGCTTTGGAAAGTCCGTGACTAGGCCCATTAACAAATCTTTCGTGATCTACGTCTACTACGGAGTATTTCATACGGAGTACTATACGACATTATAGTAGCAATTTGGCAATTTAATAGGGAGCCGCTGCATTCATCGAGCAAAAAGAAAAATCATCTAAGCCTACAAACGGTTCAAATCCCAATTTGTCAATTTCACTAGAGCATGTACTAACATTGAAATTGATTGAATCGATTGATTTTATGAAAATTTATAAAATTCTTGTTGAAGTGATAGGATTGATTGATTCTACTGTTTTGTGAAATATTTATATTTCAAATATTTTTTATCAATAAAATAAAGGAAAATATATAAAAATAAGAATTAAAATGATCATCTACAGTAACTTCAGTCAATACAACTAACTGGTGAATGGATCAAGATTTAAAGAGAGCAATGCTGAGAACGGGTCAGATGGTAGGTGGCTTAACAACCGGGCTGAATGTTTCATCACAATCAATGCCTTTGTTGCTGAGTTTTTCCATCACCTACAAGACGGACTTTCTGACGCTCAAAAGAATCGTTAGGCACTTTTCCATCACCTTTACCTTTATCCATTTATTTTTTGTCTAACGGAAGGAGCATTGACATTATATGCTTGAGGGCGAGGGCGAGAATACCCGGCCCAGTAGAACATGGGCCCGATAAAGTAGCAACCGGTCTAGGAGCCCAAGGAGAAGAGGGATATGGGCAAGGAGGGGGCACGGGTCACTGGGCTGTCCAAGGATTCCAAGACAGCCAAGGTTGATGCTGCCAATATATTAGGCCCAAAAGAGGGTCCAATGCTTTGGGATAAATATCTACACAATTAATGGAATATATTCAACCGGTATAAAGCTCCATATTAAACCATTTCCAACGTATATATTGAAAAAAGTTAAACAAAGCACATTATCAAAACATTTGGCTATATGTAAGTGACATTACATTTGAGGAACAAATCATATATGTAAAAATAAACGCGTGGAAGTTCTCGAATACTTTGTGTATAATATTCAGTTTCATTAGTATGTTGCCTATCGGTGATGTAAATTTGTCAATGATGGAAAATCTAGTTTTCCAACAATTGAATAACCAAATATGAGAGAAAGATTGAACTAAAATTTGTGGTGTATAAGATGCTAAAATTAGAATTCATACCTTTCAAACTTAGATGACACAATGAGGCCAAAACAAATTCATTGTTTATCTTAGCTAGTATGGAATGACCACCATGTGAGATATGTTTAGTTAGGATGTTTTTACTTAATTTGCTGGTCTGGTCTGGTCTGAACTGGTCTGGTCTGGTCTGGTTTCTTTGTATTTTTAAACTACCCAAGTCTAGTCTGGTCTGAACTGGTCTGATCTGAACTGGTCTGGTCTGGTCTGGGAGGAATTACAGTCCAAGTAAAAACATCCTTAATGGCCCGTTAATATTCAATCAAACTCGTCTATTGGTAAAAGTAAAAGTAAAATTAATTGCAAGTAATCAAAATGGAGGGAGGTTTAATGATTTTATTTTTCTGGTAGGTGCACCATTTTTTCATTTCAGTACAAAACTTGGCTCAGACCTGTCTCCATACACTTTATATGAAAGTTTTTAGAATTTACCTTAGTCCTTCGATGGGATGACCGTGAACTTTGATGTAAGAAATAAATTGTATTTAGATTTTGATGATGTTAGCTCAATTAGGATTTTAGAGCCCTCATTACACTACAAAAAAAACTCGCTCTTTATCACGGCTTTTGGTCAGTGACAAATTTACTCCGGCGACCGGTTTTTTACTCCGGCGAAAACTTTTTTGCTCCCGGGCATTTGTCACGGAAAGATCTGTGACAAATCCGTGAAAAATTTCAAAAAAAGTTTTTCCACCGGTACCTTTAATAATACAGTACGAAAAAGGGGTTGTCACGGATAAATCCGTGACAAATCCGTGACAAATTTTTTATATATCCCAATCCAATCGTCCATTACAATTGCAAGAACAACACTTATCCCTTATCGGTTCAAAAATTCGTAGATTCGAGTGATGTAGTATCGGTTTAAAGATTGAATGATGTAATCTGTCAGTTCATCATTTTTCCTGTTTATGCAGATAATGTATGCCATTTTAACTAATTTCTTTTAATTATGAAATTATTAGCTTAGTGAGGTTAGTTGTTCATCATTTATTTAAACTATTAACGTAATTTAGTGAGGTCATGTTAATTTTCATATTATTAACAATTTAAAGGACGGTGGTAGTATTAAACTATTAACGTAATTTAGTTAAATTTAAATATAAATATTAATTAGTTAATTGAAATGAGTTTATATCACCAGTGATTAGGCCAGTTTGTTTATTAGCAATTATTGTTATTAATGCATAATTTAGGATTTGTAGTGATTTAAGTTAGCTAGCTTAATTAGTTATAATTATTATAGCTTAATTAGTGACTTGTAGTGATTTAAGTTAGCTAGCTTAGGTTATTAATTATCACCAATTATTGTTTATTAGCAATTATTGTTAATGCATAATATAGGATTGAAACTTTATTAATTAGTTTAGTGTGAATTATTATTGTGAATTAATGACATAATGTTTAACAATAATATTAGTTAAATGTAAATTAATTAACTAAGTTAAAACATTGAAATTTAGTGAAATGAGTTTAGAATTTGAGTGATAATATTATTTAGATTTAAATATTAGTTAATTGAAATGGGTTTATAACCAATGATGATTAGGTTTGTTTATTAGCAATAATTATTGTTAATGCATAATTTAGGATTTGTAGTGATTTACGTTAGGATTCAAACTTTATTAGTTAAGTGTGAATTATATATATATACATTATTGTGAATTAATGATATTTAACAATATTAGTTAAATGGAAATTAACTAATTAATAAGTTAAATTAGTTAACTTTAGTATTGTGAATAAATGCCATTAAGGTAATAACTTTAATTAGTATTATATGTTAGTTAATTATTTAATGTGTACTATTAAATTTTCATAATTTTAGTATTGTGAATAAATGCCATTAACGTAATAATTTAGTGTGTTTGGTGCACAAATTCTAATATTGTGAATTAGTTAATAATTGAAATGATTAATGCCATTAACATATTACTATTAGTTAATTAGTAATTTTAATTGAACGTTAGTTAATTTTAGTGAAGTTTAATGAAATTTAATATATTAATGTTACTTGAGTGAAATATAAAATAGTCTAAGTTCACTAAGTTCAACCGAGCTAGCTTAGGTTGTATTAATTTTAGTGAACATTATATTAGTAAATTATTAATTCCGGCCATTAACATATTTATTTTAGTTAATTAATAATATTAATAGTGAACTTGAGTGAAATTTAACATATTAATGTTTCTAAATATGAATTAGGGTCATGATTGAAAAGTTAGATAATTCAAATTAGTTAATGTCACAAATGTACCGCTTTTAGTTAATTAATAATATTAATTGAACGTTACTTAATGTCCTTATATAATATTTTCATTATAACATACAGGCATAATGTATAGACAAAACAGAAGTTGGATGTACCAAAAATATCGCGATAACTATGGAATACGAAGTGAATTTCTTAATGGTGTTGAAGATTTTATTAAATTTGCACAAGAACAGAAGAATTATATGGATGGCAATAAAATAATATTTCCATGTACAAAGTGTAAAAAACTTCAATTTAAAGATGTCGACCAAGTTGTGTGGGATTTGTACGAAAAAGGTTTCGTTGCCAATTATTATAATTGGACTTCTCATGGCGAACCTTTCGATCAATCACTTTTACCACAAACAGTGGGTTCATCTCGTAACGTCCCTACCGAGATGAGTGGATGGGGAGACTATGATCAAATGACGTGGGATCAAAGAATGACATATGATGTATACGGTGCTTCAACGATTCAGTTTAACCCCCCACAACCATTTAACGATCTTCCCGAAACTTCGACCTCGTATAAACCCAATGCGGATGAAGATCCGACCTTTTATCAGCCTGATGCGGATGAGTATCTGAATTCTCATGATCCTCATATTGAAGACTTAGCTGAAAGATTTCAAGATGTTTTAAAAGCTGTCGATCAGCCTCTGTATGCTGATTGTGAGGGATACTCTCAGCTATCCGCCGTTACAGAGTTGATGAACATTAAATCTGAATACAATCTCCCTGAATCTTGAATGTCTAGGTTATTGCAGTCATTTGGAAGAATGTTACCGCGTGACCATAATCTTCCTGATTCATATTACAAAGTGAAACAATTAATGTCTCAGTTGGGGCTTCCTTGTATAGAAATTGATGTGTGCCCAGAAGGATGTATGTTGTTCTGGAAGGATGATGTGGCACTTGAGAGCTGCAAGTCCTGTGGTGGAGAGAGATACAAGCATGTTCCTCATAGACGGAAAAAACCACGAAAAAGGTATGCATTGTCTAAATTGTTTTACCTCCCTCTAGCTCCACGCCTGAAGAGGATGTATGCTTCAAATGCTACTGCGAAACACATGACGTGGCATGTTGAGCATGAAACCAGAGAGGGTTTGATGTCTCACCCTTCCGACTGTGAAGCTTGGAGACACTTTGACCATTGTCATCCTCAGTTTGCAATGGAGCCACGGAATGTGCGACTGGGATTGTGTTCAGACGGATTTGCTGCTTTTGGAAAGTTTGGGAAGAAATTTTCATGTTGGCCAGTCATGCTAACTCCTTATAATCTTCCTCCCGACATGTGCATGAAAAGTCATTTCATCTTTTTAACTTTAATTTGTCCAGGTCCCTCGGATCCTAAAAAAAGGATAGACATCTATCTCCAACCCCTGATCGAGGAGATGAAAGAACTTTGGGCCATTGGGACACCAACTTATGATGTTTCAAGAGATGAAATGTTTATAATGAAAGCTGCCATCATTTCGACCATTAGCGACTTCCTTGCTTATGGTATGCTTTCAGGATGGAGCACACACGGTCTTATGGGATGTCCGATATGTATGCAGAAATCAGATGTCAATTGGCTCAAATTTAGCGGGAAACCAAGTTACTTTGATTGTCACCGCAAGTTTCTGCCTATGAACCATCAATATCAAAAGGACAAGAAGTTTTTTATTGCCGGAAGAGTGGTACGAGATCCCCCTCCTCCAAGACTTACAGGT